CAGGCGTTTGATGTTGGCCAGTTAGAGACAGAATACTTTGCACAGGTGGGCCAGGTACAGCCAGGGCTATTCTCAACACTTCATTTATGCTTCCAGTGCTGCTCCAGATGGAATGGTCCTGTTTCCTCTTTTATGTTAGAGCAATTGAAGCACAGAAAAACCAAAGTGCTGCTCTCCAAATAACTGAATCCAATTTCCCCTCAGTTCCAGTCTAGTGCACTAAGACTTACCAGATCTGGCTTACCATGTGCTACAGTGAGTGATATAGACCTTGCCTTGAGAGTATGTATATGTGAACAGGCTGGCTGTAGGAGGTCCAAGGTGGTTACTGTGCTGCTGAGGCACTTGTAGCAAGAGGATTTCTCAGCAGCATGGAAGTGTTGCTCAGATGTCATTATCAGCTGCCTTGTAGTGACTTGTGGGTGGGGATCCTCCTAAGAGGGTTGTGATTTGAAACACTGAAAGGAGGACACTGAATGTACTGTTGGTACAGTGGTAACTTCCAGAGGGAATGGGAAAATCACTGTTCTTGACAGTGTGCCCTGAAAGTTGAAGGGCAGAAAATTGGAGGATTTTAGTAGAGCATGGGATCCTATTAATTGATGTTATACTGCAGCTGAGGAGCCCTCGCATCTCTCTTTCTCCCTTGCTCCTTTGTTGAGGGCCATTATATGCACCATTAGAAGATTTTTGACATGTAAGCGCAGCAGATGTGGTGACAGAGGCCTTCGTACTGTGCTCAACCCATCCAAGCTCTCATTGATGTGTGTCTCAAGGCTGTTCTCTTCTGCTCCGTTGTGCAATAACACATCAGAGCCTTCTGATGCTCCTGGCAGAGTCTGTGCTACATCCTGACTTCTGTTTGAAACAAGGCTTACAGGGAAGGAAGGTAAGTCTGCTATGCGAATAGGAACAGGGGTAGGAGGGAGTGAAGGGCATCTGCCCATAACAGGAGTTATCTCCTTCCTGGCAGAAGAGAGGAAGAGATGCTGGCCGCTCACAGGCTCCTCACAGGGGATTGGCTTGAAGAAGGACAGTAAATAACTGAGGAGGAGTACTGCTGCTCCTCGGGAGACAGACTGGCCACAAGAGCCGATAAGGGAAAGTATCTGTCTTCAAAAGCAGCTGTGCAGTGGAGGAGCTAAGAGCCTCTTTCACTGCAGTCATTTCAAGTTAAAAAGCAGGGAAGGTATCTGTAAAAGCTGGTGATGTCACTTTTCATCCTTTGACTATAATAATCCTTTGGAGAGAATATTACCTAAAAACTCAACCTGTATGCTTTACACTGCTTTCACATACAGCCAATCATATGGCCTTCTGTCCACTCAGCATGCTTTTCTACTTGGTTTTGAAGATGTAAATATAGGTGTTCAAAGCTGGGTTGAAGAGCTGTTGGTTTAAGAAGCACAGCCAGTGCATTCAGCTCAGGTCACAAAATGAGGAGCTTGCATGAAAATACTGATGGCTGCTTGTTTAGTTTAGTTTAGTTACAGCCTCCAGCTTTTGCTGCTAAAGAACTTCTAGAGACACTGTTGTATTGTGAAATTATGGCTGTTTCAAGATTTTGCCATAGTGGGTGTATTGGGTCCTGCTAAGGGATGTCAAATATAGGTAGCTTTAGTGGGCTGTTAAATCCTGGAACACAGTTTGGGGTAACGTGGCTGAGTCCAAGAAAGGGACACAGCGATGTTTGCCTGTGCAGCCGAGGCACTGAACTACTCCCCTGTTGGGATGGAACCTGGATAATTTCCCGGCTGGTGTGAAAGGGCAGCCTGCAGATGGCGTATGAGAGGCGACCATTGGATTGCAGCAAGGAAAAAGTGACACATCTGGTTTGGCTTCAGGTTGCTCATCAGTGCCCTGTTGGAGCTCGAGGCCGGAGGGATGCTCAGCCAGTTGGATCTTTCCTCTAAAGGTTTATTTTGTGTGTGTAATTTTCACTGAAGGGCACTGGGCATATGAAGCTGGATTTAAAAGTTGTGAATTCTGAAAACCCCAGGGCACAGCTGTCCTCATTTTCAGTACGGGGTCTGCCTTACAAGAAACCTACAGAGACACAGGAAAGATTTAAGGATTTGTGTTCCATAGTGTTCCTGTTCCTTAGAGCCACTTGAGCAGGGGTTGCTGCAGAATGTGCTGGTGTGGAAAAAGTTTGGTTGCTCTTTTAGCATTGATATAGTGTATATCCTAATTAGGAACACTGCAACTTCTTTAGGAATGTGTGGTGTCTAAACAGTTGGATGAATTTGTCTCTGCAGTGCACACAATGACTGTAAGCCTGGTGGGTTAGTTTTTCTGACCAGGCTCTGAGCCCAGCTCTGAGTTTCTTCTTCAAGTAAAGCACATCCTGCTCCTTCTTAGTTCTTTGGGAAGGAACAGCACAAATCCACTGTGAGTGGGCTATGATACAGTGCAATTCAGGTATAAAGATTGATTTCAAGCAGTGGTAATCTCTTGTCTTCTAATTGGAACAGGAAAATTAAACACGAGCAAATTCATCACAATGGCTGGAACAAACGTAGGAGCTGGTGTTGGGGTAGAACAGAGCAAGTTCTTCATGCATTGTTACCAATATAGAGCAGTGCAAGTATTTCAGGGTAGTGTCTGAGAAGTACTGCAGTGGGCAGTTGTAGCATGCTTGTCCCTGTCACTCAGTGAGTGCTTGTGCTCTAGACAAGTGATCGTTCCTCGTGTTCTTCTAAAAATAATGTCTCCTCATCATGGTCAGTTTTCATGTTCACTGCGTTTGGATGTTCCATGGCTTCTTGTTACACTGTGCCATCACCTGCTGGCAAAGGCCATTCAGCAGAGCTCTGGTGGGAGAGTGAGAGTCTGAGAGATGGCCAGAAGAGGCTTTACACCACTTGGTTTAGAAAATCCAGAGCTCTGCTACTCTGCTTCCAGGAGCCCAAGCTGCTGGTGGTTGAACAGCAGCACCTGGTCCTGAGCTGTGGCCAGGAAAGAGGTAAAGCTATGCTTGTAACTACTAAATGGGGAGACAGTGGATGAGCTGCTGTGACAGAGATGCAGGGCAGCTGTTTGCAGTCCAAGGCACTGACTGTGGGAGACTACTTTTTTGCTGTGGAGGCTTGGTTACCTTGGCAACCTGCTTTTAGCTGGATGTCTGCTCTGGTGGAGAGCCCATCTGTAGTAGCCACTTCTTTGTTTTGAAACGGCTGTTTTACAGAAAAATAACTGACAGGGACATTTTCAGAGCAGAATTATTGCAGAATCCAGGCTCTGGTCATGGTCCCAGGAGTTTGTGCGATGACGGAGTGATGATGATGTAGGGAGTTCTGTGGATGGATTGAAAAGGTGTTAATACAGCAGCTTCACGAGGTGAGCTGCTGACATGGAAGGGAAAGATGCTCTTGCTGATGGTTTAAATCCTGAAATAGCTCTCAAAGATAAATCAGTTGCAAGTCTGGAGTTTGCAGAGAACTTTGTTCCTTGTGGTTTGCAGTTCAGCATTAGCCACCTTCTGCTAGATTAAACTGAAGTAGCTTCTGTCTGTGATGAGTGTAAATACCTAAGCTGGGGCTATAGGCTTCCCTTTGGGAGAGCATATGTAAACTTCTGATAATCCTGGTGAACTTCTAGTATTGGAAACTAGAGGCTGGAGGACTGTATTCAGAATCTGACAGTTTTGTTTAATGGAAGATCTTACCAGTCTCTTCACATCTGTCTTTTTGCTGTAGGTTTTTTTACCTTTTTTGAATACTTTGTGATCCTTGATTATCTAAATTTTGCCCTTACCTCATTCCTGTTCCCTGTGCTTTATCTCCTTCTCTTTCATAGCCTGTGCTTTTGGGCTGAGGTGAATGGTCTGTTCTGCATTGGCTATGGAGCTCTCCCAAGCTGAAATTGAACTTCTTGCACGTTACTGGGTAGTGTGTAACATTTGTGTAGTGTTGGTGGGGAACACAGATTGATAAAATCTACGTGTGCTATAACAGACTGGAGTAATGCCTGGTGTTATTTGGTTAGATGCAACTACCAATTAGTAGATAATTAAGAACCTTTTAAAAAAGTGTGTATAGTGTTCCAGTTCAATTTTGCAAGACATCTAAATTCAGATGTTTTAAGTCTTGAAATCTGTTGACTTCAAAGCAGAGAGAGAGTACATTAAGAACCTGTTCTAGGCAGGTATCAGCTTTGAGTCCTGGGCAGCTATAATGCAGAAGAAAATAGTTTTCTCTTCTGAAAATTTCAAGAACTAGAAAAAACAAAGTAAAGAACTTTGCATTTTATTCAAGCTTATGGAATGCAATTGTTTATTGTAATGTCTGCTTGATTAAAGCTTTTTTAGCCAACCTCTTTGTTAATTACCACTATTACTAACTGATATTGGGTGGTTACAGCAGGAGCTTTTGTTGCTTTATTTTTTAAGACAAGTTTGAACCAGATCTGTAGTCTTTGCTGCACAGCCCCAGATAACTGACACAATAAAGTACTACATCCTCCCTTGTTCCAGTGCAGCAGCACTGACACACAGCTACAGAAAAGCTATGCTATGGGGGTTTTTGTTCTCTGTCTTTTTTTTTCCTTTTTTTTTTTTTTTAATTGCCTTTTTCAACAAGAATGACAGTTTGGGGCTGACTATGCATACATCATGTTGGTGATATATGAAGCAGAAACAAGACAGTTGATTCTCCCACCCCAAAGCTCACTCCAGGATCTAGCAGATAGAAAAATCTCTGTGAACTGACTAAGCTAACAAGAGACTTAGCTTGAGCCTGAGCAGATTTGATTTGGAAGTCAGTGAAGGAGAGTAAATGTGGGATGGTAAAATAGCTGTCACTTACCTGTCTAGCACAGAATTTTAGCCACAAAAAGCACCACCAAACCCTACACATGAATTGATATGTTTCTGAGAGGTGAGCAGCTGGCACTCACGTTATTTTATACTAGATAATGTAAATGCTTCTGTATTTAAGTGACTTGTTGAGAATGGCTTTGCTTTTTATATTATTTTGAAAATACTTATTATTTTCTCCTAGCTTTGATCAACTTATTGAAGTTCCTCATGTCTAATGAGACTGTGTTGCTGGCCAAGCACAACATCTTCACCCTTGCTCTTATGGTGAGTACACACAAATTCTCATATTTTTAACAACTTAATGGTGAATGAATCATAGGAAGAAAACCAGGATTTCTGGCCTGGTAAAGAGATATGAGAACAAGGACACAAAGCAGAGGAATATTATTGTGGTTGGTTTCTCTTGGTGTTTGGAAAGGGCCAATACTTGGACTTCACTGTAGGGTAGGCTCGTTGAAATAAAGAAGTCTGTGAGGAAAGACTTAGCTTAATTTTCCAGATTTTATAGTATTTCTTCTTGTTCTGTGACCCTTTGTAAAAAAATAATAGTAACATGTTTTTCTGGCCACAGATTAAGTAGTATTTAAGCTTCTTGTCTGTCTCTTCTGTGCTATAAGGAAATTAATAGATAAACCAATTAAGTAATGCAATGCTGTCTGCTGCGACTGAGCTATTTCTTTGAAGGTTCTGGATGTAGTTTGTATTGTTTTTCTTGCACAATACATTTTGGGTAAATGTTCCTGTTGTAATTTCTGTTCATTTGTATAGGTTGTGAACCTGTTCAACATGTTCATCACTTATGGAGACACCTTTCTCCCCACTCCCAGCAGCTATGATGAGCTGTATTATGAAATTATTCGAATGCATCAGAACTTTGACAACCTTTATTCTATGGGTGAGTATCTCCTGACTTGTCAGGACTGCTGCTGACTGGAAGTGAGAGTGGTGGAGGAGGGATGTTTGTCAGGTGTTTTCTGTCCATCTGCTACTGACATGTGCCTTGCTGAGTGGACATGTTTTGTATACTAGGACGTTTGGTAAATTAAGAGAGAGGGATAAACTTGTTAAAGTGATAACTTTCTGTTAGTCGGTTTTTTGTGGGGTTTTTTTGGTGTTTCTGTGGTTTGTTTTTTTTTTTTTTTTTTTTGGTTAGGAACAGACTCCTTGCCTTCAGTCACTTACTCAATCGCTTACTGTGATTGGGAATATGAATTTGTTGTCACAACAGAGTATGTGGTATTTCATGCATTTTCACATAGTTTGCATCTATTACCTTGGGCAGTTTTAAATCCAAAGGCAGGTACATGCTGCACAACCAGCCAGCACAGAAGTGCTCACTGCAAATAAGAATTTGGAGAAGAATTTAAGAAACTTAGAACAAGAAGCTTGCTGTGCTAGACAAATCACATTGACTGCACTCATTGCCAAAACAACCAAGAAAACAGCCCTCACAAACCTGCTTGCAGTGACAAGTGAATCATTGGACTGAAGAATGTGCCCACTGGCAAAACAGGGAGAAGCTGCCGTCCTTCAAAGAGAGGGAGGCATGCTGGCATGCCACCAAGTGACACCCAGCAGGGAAAAAAAGGAACAATGAAGAGCAAGGAATGCATGGAGGCATAATCAGGCAGTGTGTACACAGGAGCCTGCAGCCCAGGGTAGCTGCAGCAGCACTGGTATAGTGTCTGCATACTTGAATCCATTGCAAAACCAATATAGCTGTGTTCTTTGTTTGCTTTATTCTAGAAGGACTTTTATTCCCTTCACTCCCTGCTCCCATCTGGGTGTGATCACTCAATGAACAACTGGAGTTCATGCAAGCATATAAGGGGAGTTCAAGGACATACAGTTGGTCACAGCACTATTCTGACATGGGAGAGGACCGTCCTCACCTAAATAATAGTAGCTGAATACCCCCTGTAACTGCAAGCAAAAGCAAACTGCCCTTTTGTATAAACTTCCTATGGTTTTCATCCATTGCATGAGGGTTCACTTGGCCATTTTTGTGCTCTCTGACTGCATAAGGTATTTTGCTAACCCATTTCCTACTCCCAAGTATTGCAGCTAGTAGGATGGGGTGCTTTTACTAGCCAATAATTTTCAAACAGAAACAGCTGTGGAAGCTGAAGACAAGAGAAATAGAAGAATAATGCACTCAAGTACTTCCCTGGTTGAGTTGCAAACAGCACACCTGACCTGTTGAAACAATTCATCTGTCACATGAATGTTTTCCATCCTGCTATGTAGAGCAAACCCATTTGAATTACTGTTGCAGATACCTGAATGGAAACCCTCTGAATATATTACTTCAGATATTCAAGTGCAGTACCTACTGTTTGACAAAAGAATGTTAGAGCTGAATTTTTTTTTTCTGCAGATGGATGACACGTAGACTAGGGAGTGAGAAGGTATCAATGTCTCAAGCTGATGAAAGGCACCAGTTTAATCAGGTGTCCTGACAGCCTCCCCTTGCTTGTCAGCCCACCTCTGAGACTACAGTGACCCTTCTGTCCCCTAGCCTTGGGGCATATGTTAGCACAGATGAGAAAGCTACTGTGCTTTAGTTTTTCTGTTAATATGGTCAAAGCTTTCTGTGTTGGGAGTGGAGATGGAATCTAATTGCCTGGGGTTTTACTTATTTATTTTTCTTATTCAGAATCTGAACTTTATGCAGATCTGCAGGACTGAAAGCTTCTGTCCTGCAATTACAGGCATGAGTATGCAGCCACTGCGCTTATGGATTCACTTGTAGCATTCATGTTTCCAGATGGTCCTAAATTCAGATGTTGAGCTGTTCCTTCACTTCTAAGTTGCTTACCAAGAGACGTGCACTATAGAAACACTACATATTTTGACCTATATAAGTATTTTTGGTACTCTGGCAGAAAAGAATTGGATTCCCTAGAAGTTCTTTCTGTTGCAGCATGTTTTCGGATCTGATCTTAAGTCTGTCAGAGACCATCTGTGCAACAGATCCACCACCCTTGTTCCTACGGGGACTGTTTTTTCCTAGGCTGATGTGTAATTCCTCTCTGCAGTTCTAGATAAATAGGGATGTAAAGAATCCATCATTGCTGGAGAGGGTTTAAACTGCAGGATGTAGTCCAGCTCAGATGGAATCTTGCATAAATAGGAGCTGGAGTAGAACAGCTGTGTGTGGAATAAAAGCTATTCTAGACCTGGGATGGTGCCCTGTTTCTGGGGGAAATGAACAGTATATGTAGTGATGAAAGCAGTTGGGTGGACCTAGGTTCTTCTATCCCCTCTGCTTCCTGACTCCAGGTTCTTAGTTTGCTCTGCTCACCTCTTCCATGTTCCTTATGTTTCTTCAATAGAATTTGAAGGGAACTTCTGCCCTGAATCAAAGATTGTCTCGAAGATGACCCTTGTTTTGATGTGGTTCTCAGACTGCCATCTTGTCAAAGCAGATTATTTTGTTCTGTTTGAATTAGAAAATTGCCAGTTCTGTGCCAACACTATTAACTGTCTTCTCCTTTCAGTTCTGAGGCTGTCTACCAATGCTGGTCAGTGGAAAGAACCTGCAAGCAAGGTGACCCATGCATTAGTCAATATTAGGTAAGGAGTAGAAGTTAATAACCATTTTAAAGATTCCTGTGTGATTACATTTTTATCATGACGCTTTCATGTTTGTTTTAATGAATTTGGTTTTGAATTTGTTCACTTCGTTGGGCTAAATTGTTGTTCTAAACAAAGGCCCACTGGGATAAAGAGAGGATCACTAGGGTTAGATTGTTCTCTCTCTAAACAATACTCTTGGCTCTTCTGTAGACTGAGTGCTTTCAAAGCATGGCACAGGTTGTAATGAATTAATCCTCACAGCATTCTTGGGAGAATTTATACAGTAGGGAACAATGCTGTGCTAGCAGAGCAATTGTGGACCTAATGGATTTCTGATGCATGATTCTATTGCAATTCCATGAAGCTGTGAAGGGGACTATGAGCCAGCTGTAATAAGTAGATTTGAGGCCTCTTTTAACATTGCAAGATTTTTGTGTGTGTTGAAAACTGATTATTTAAGGACATTTCAGTATTCTCTTAAACCTCTTCCTTCTGTTCAAGGGCAGAATTTATGCTTTACATGTAAAACTAAGAACTATCTAGGTGTGCATTCATTCACAATGGCCATCATTTATTTTCCTGATGTCTGAAGCAGCTAGTACTCACCAGGCTGGGTGCTGGGCGAGAGGATCATGGATGTGATTGATTGGAAAATGGAAGAATGTTGAGAGATAAAATCTACTGCTTAGCTCTATCTTGTAAACAAACCATAAAAGATAGACGTATACTGAAAAATATCTGTCCCTCACTTCTCTGGTCACCCCAGACACTTGGTGCCTGTGCAACAGCAAGTAGCTCAGTAATGTTGCATATCTAGTACTTGTCATTTTCCTCACTGCAAAATACATTGTGTAAGACAAACTGAGGACATCTTTCAAGTCAATATACATCTTGCATGTCTATAAACCACCTTAAATGTTCCCTTAGTAAGTCTGTAAACTTGATACCATGATTCCAGATTCATTTTGCTGCTGTCCTTATTTTAGATTTTAAGTTTTTTTGGGGGAGGTTTCTTTGCTTTTTAAACTTATGTGAGTGAACACCTGTGGGCAGATAATGCACTTGAAGTAAAGCAGCAGAACAGGTAGCTGTTGGCAAATTAATGTCACTTAATGTGACACGAAATGTCTGCCCTGGGAATTCTCTGTATACCCGGGGAGAGTAGTCTAAACTGGGAAGAGATAAAAAACCAAGTGATCACAGAGGGTTTGTGCTCTCACCTCTGGCTTGTGCAACCAAGATTTTGTGTGGACTTATTTCCTGTTGGCTTAACAGCTGTTTTTGTGAAGATCAGCATGCAACTGAGACAAGATACAACCAAAGAAACTGGCACTGTGATACCCCTCCCTGGACAGCCTCTATCAGCCATGTTCAGAACATGGTGCTGTCTGGAACCAGTGAAGCCTCTAACATATTTCTCTTCGGGACTTTTGGTAGCTTTCCCCTGCTCCATCCAGCTGTTCCTCTATGTTGAAATTTCTTGTGATATTTTACTAGCCTTAGAAGTTTTTATGAATGACTGGTTTTCATGCAGTGACATTAGGAAAGATATAAATTACAGACAATTCAGGGCCTAGAGAGGTATTAGAATTCAGAGAAGTTAGTCTGTTTGATTTACCCTAGCTCTCAAAAAAAATAGATGAGGCAGGAAGAATTTTGTCTTCTGGTTTGTTTTCTTCTTATGGTAAAAATATTACATTTGAAAGGTTCTTTAACTGAATACATTGCAGAGCAGCCAGAGAAATCCAAAGGGACTGTGCTTTTGTGAAGGTGATTAACAGTGTGGTGTTTCCAAGTGGTGACTGGGACTAGAACCTGGCTTAGCTCCCCCCTACCTGACTTGCCTCTATGTTTATGCCCCCTTGGTTTTCCCTTAGAGTGGTCCTAGCATACTGTGTCTTATTTGGATGTCATTTGGATGTCATAAAAAGAATGAATTTAGAGAAATCCGCTTAACACTTGATTTTCCCCTCACCTTGTTCCATCATTCTGGAAAGTTTCTGTGGGCAATGATTACCTGCTTTTTGCTGTAACTGTGCAGTGCAAAGTCCCACTTTCATTTATATCCTCATCTCATTACACAGGCTATTTAAAAATAAATAAACATTGTTATTTCCTTATCCGAAGGTTTTTAGTGGGTTTTATAAATGTACTAACATCTGCCTGTGCATGCATGTGATGGGCTTTAACAAGTGTCATAAATCCTAGTGCACAATGTTATGTGTATTTCTGCCAGGAGAGGAGTGGTGAGTTGTTTACAACTTTTCAAGGCTGCAGTATGTTTGTGTTACACCAGTAACTCTTAAGGAGAGACACAAACCAATCGTGCTTGTACCCCACAGTGCTGAACTAGTGAGCTCGTCTGATTAATTGCTTTAATAGAGAGTCGGGATGAGTAATACCTAGGGAATCATTGTCATGTTCTTGTTTAAACTCAGCCCCAGAGAGAGCTCCTGCTTTGTGTATCCTATTATGGTATGAAGAAGACTTTTTAGTTGGACCCTATTCTCCTCTGGACAGCCTGATTGAGTTTGGTTGTTGCTGATTATCTGATTTTTCTTGTCCTTACTCCAGTGAAAAGAACAGTCATGAATATTTTTTTGACTATTGAGAGATGGGGAGGCTATTCCTACCTTCTCTCCTTTTTCCAGATAATTCATAATTTCTGTCCAACCTAAAGAAAATGAAAATTTGAAGGCGACAGAATAATAATAGCCTTATCTGTCTGCAAATCTTACATGCCATACCAGAATGAGTGATTCCTGTTGCTGTCCTATCTCATAATAGTCATTATAACTTGTGTCTGTGGATTTGTCTCTGTGGTTTTCATACATAATTGAGATGTGGTAGACTGCAAGATAGAGCTGCAGCATTGATGGGATTGAAATAGGAAGGTGCAGCAGTTGGTTTGAAAACTCACCTTCTCACCTATGAGGAAATAAACACATTTTGAGACAAGTTATTTTTTTAAGCTAATGAGCCTCTTCGATATAACATTGTGCAGGTTTGCATTTAATGAGAATTTTATTAACACAGGGTCAAAGGGGCATCTTCTGATTGCCTATTCAGTGAGAAAAGTGGCCGCTGAATCCCAGTCTTCTTTTAATAGACTTTCTCCTGATCAGGATTTTTTCAAGGTGAATAAATAGATTAACTCAATGATTAATAGACTGAATTTCTCCATTGTCTGAAATACAGTCCTATCATAATTTTTGAAGTAATTTTGTTTTTCTCACTGAAAGACTTCTAATAAGCAGAGGGTTTGTAGTATGGAACTAGGTGATAGGATTTTTTTTAAAAGGTGTTTTATGTGCTGTTGTAGCATGTGCTGCAATCCTTGCTTGGGTGCTTTCATTCACTCTTCCATCTTGCAGCTACTTTGTTCTACATGAGCCACCCTGTGTGATGCTCTTTTCTTTGTAGGAGAGGTGCTGCTTCTCTCAGGGATGCTTTTGGAGTCTTAAAGGAGACATTGGGGATTTGGGATGAGCACTTAAAGCATCACATGGATGTGTATAAAATAGTTGTGCTTGCTGCAGTCTAGGCAGGATTTACAGTTTTACTTAGGTAAAAGAAGGCCAAATTGGGCTGTGCTTGTTGGTTGTAGGACACTTGTCCTCCCTATCCTGAAGCTATAGTTTATGATAAATTACCAGCACTCCACAGAACTTCACTTACTGAAAATCTTGACGGAGGAGGAGGGTCCACTCAGATAGAATGTCAGCAGCTGCAAGAGTCCGGTACCTTCAGCATTGTTCACTTGACTGCAAGGAATTTAGCGTCCCCTTATGGGGAGAGAAGAACAAAATGGTGCTGAGCTGGTCATGTTGCAGTGGACAGCTGTAGCATTTATACAGGATACATGAAAGGGACCTGTTGATAGATAAGTGCTTCTGTGTAGAGTGGTGGCCTATGGATTACAGTCATCTGAGACTGTGTACAAAATATGTATTTATATGTGTGCACGCATGCTTTCTTCCTTCCCTCTCAGTACAGACATAATGGACACACACACATTTTTTGCCAATGTGTGTAAGAAAGTGAAAAAAAAGGAGGGCAAGCTTAAAGCTGTTTGTGAAAAGAAACGATCAGGAAAATCTATGTGGATATATGTATATAAAAATATGTATATTTCTCTGTACATTATAGATATATGTACATATATGAATGTGTGTATCATATATGTATCTATGGATATCTATATATATAGGTACATATACTAACATACACATATGTACACTTAGAAATATATACATTTATGTATATATTTGGCTATGGCTATGGCTCTGTAAGAGAAACACACCTGACATCTCAGGTCACCTTTGTTCTTTTTGCCAGTTACTTCCATTTCAGTCACTGCTGCCTGGGAAGGGACTCTG